TGCTTTTAATGACTTGGAATATTTCTTGCTATTTTTTGCTGGCTTGTAATGTTTTTGTTGAGAAGTCAGGTGCTAGCCTTATCACAGTTCCTTGTATGTTACTTCCTGTTTCTCCCTTATTGCCTTTAAGAGTCTGTCTATGTTTTTGAATTTTTCCATTTTAATTATGATGTGTCTTGGATTGGGCCTCTCTAGATTCCTCTTGATTGGGACCCTCTGTGCTTTCTGTACTTGTGTAGCTTTTTCTGTCATCAAATTAGGGAAAATTTTCATCATTCCTTTTCAAACTTTTTTTTTTTTGTTCCTTGCTCTTCTTATTGTGTTTCTGGTATCCCTATTATACTTATATTATTATGTTTCATGTGTCCCATAGTTCTCTTAACCCCTTTTTCTTCTTTGTGAATCTCTTTTCTTTTTCTTGCTTTTTCTAACAGTTTTCATCTGCCCTGTCCTTCAGCTTGCTGATTCGATCCTCAGCTTCCTCTAGTCTACTTTTGATTCCTCTAATATGTTCTTCGGTTTAGAAATTGTATTCTTCATTTCCTCTTGGCTCTTGTTGATTATCTCTTTGACCCTTTTTTTCATGCTGATGTATTTTACAGTAAGTTCCTCATAGTTTTCCTATAGTTTTCTGTATCTCTCACTGAGGTCATTATGTTACTTATAATCATTGTTTTGGACTCAATATCTGATAGTTGACTTGCTTCTCTTTGATTTAGCACTCCTTCTGAAGATTCCTATTCTTCTTTTGATTAGGAGTTGTTGCTTTGTCTTTCCATTGCTTGTGAGAGTCTTTTTTGCTTCTGCTTCTTAAATTGATCTGTTTTGACTCCCTGAATTTCTGGTATGAACTCCTATGGTAGGACATCTGTGATATTTAGTTGTGTGTCTTCTTGATCTCCTAAACTTTATGCTCTTGGGATGCCTTTTATGTCATTTATGTTGGCTCTCTGTATATAATTGGGTATTGCTTGTTGTTGGGTCACTCTTCAGTGGTTCCTTCCCTCTAGCTGGTTGATTAGGGTTCCCTGCCCACCACATCTTATACGCTGTTTTGCAGTTGCTCACAGAACAAAACTACAAACCCCAGGAAACAAACACAAACCTGCAAAAATAAGTATCCCCACAGTCCCACTACCAATAGTGAATGAACCAGTATTAAAAAGGGTGTAAAAAGATTAAAACTATTCTAAGAAAAAAAGAATGAAGATGAGATAAGCTTTTAGGCATAGGTCAATACACTGCCTCCTCGTACAACCAAAAGAAGGACAACAAAAACTATAAAACCCAAAACCCGTCAGAACTGACATAATATAGAATTATATGTTCATCGCTTAGATTTATCGGCTCCGGGACTCTGAGTTGTTCTTGAGCCATGTTTTGATCTGTTTGTGCCTGTTACATATGAGGAGCAGAGCCTTAGTTGTTCACCAGGGTGGGGCCACCCAGGTCGCTGTTTTGTGACTCTGTATGTGGGGGCGTGGACAGAGAGGGACAATGGCCATTCTCTCTGCCCCTTTCTGCTGCTGGGGCCTGTGCAGTCCGTCTCACCACTGCTAGCTCCTTCACCAGTTTATCTGCATGTGAATGTTATTAAGAACCACACCTAAAACAGAAGCAAACTAAGAGGACAGCTAGATCAGGAGCAGAACCATAGAAATGAAGATCACATGGAGGGTTAGCAACAGGGGAGTGGGAGAAGGAGAAGGGGGGAGAAGGTGCAGAAAATAAGTAGCATAGATGATAAGTAGAAAATAGGGGGGAGGGCAAAAATAGTATGGGAAATATAGAATCTAAAGAACTTGAGACATGTGGTCATAAACTAAAGGGGGGGATTGGTGGGGGAGGGGTGTGCAGGGTGGAGGGGAATGAAGGGGTGAAATAGAACAACTGTAATGGCATAATTAATAAAATATATTTTAAAATAGAACTATATGGAAGTCTGAAAACCATGGAATTAAAGAAGAGACATTCATCAAGACTGGTAGGAGGGGTGAATTTGAGCAGTCAGACAGAGAGGTGGTGGCTGGAGGACCAGATGAGGCAGCAGTCAATGGACCAGGTGAGGTGGTGGCTGGAGGAGCAGGTGGTCCCACATTTCTGAGTGGATAAACTATGTGTAACAACTGGGCAGTGAGACAGACTGCACAATCCAGGGTTCTAGCACTTGGAAATAAAGACTCAAAGCCTCTGACAGAAAGTGTGTGGGGATTGAGGCAGCAGGAGAAATTACTGGCTTCACAGGAGAGTTCACTGGAGAGACCCACAGGATTCTAGAATGTACACAAACCTACCCACCTGAGAATCAGCACCAAAAGAGCTCAATATGCTTGTGGGTAGTGGGGGAAGTCACTACAAGCCTGCCAAGAGCTGAGTGGGCCACATTAGTCCCTCTCGAACCCCTCCCCCACATACAATGGCACAGCACAGCAATGTGTGTTGCCTCTCCCTGACAAATACCTAAGGCTGTGCCCCTTACTATGTAACAGGTGTGCAGAGGTAAAAAAAATATATATATATATTGCCCAAATGAGAGAACAGATCAAATATCCAGAAAAAAAATACAACTAAGAGATAGCAAACCTATCAGATGTACAGTTCAAAACACTGGTAATCAGGATACTCACAGAATTGGTTGAGTATGGTCACAAAATAGAGGAAAAAGTGCAGGCCATGAAAAGTGAAATAAGGGGAACCAACAGTGAAGGGAAGGAAATCGAGACTCAAATTAACAATTTGGACCAGAAGGAAGAAACATTCAACCAGAACAGAATAAAGAAACAAGAATTCAAAAAAATGAAGAGAGGCTTAGAACCCTCCAGGACATCTTTAAATGTTCCAACATCTGAATCATAAGGGTGCCAGAAGCAGAAGAGGAAGAGCAAGAAATTTAAAAAAATATTTGGAAAAATAATGAAGGAGAACTTCTCCAATCTGGCCAAGGACATAGACTTCCAGGAAGTCCAGGAAGCTCAGAGAGTCCCAAAGAAGTTGGACCCAAGGAAGCACACAACAAGGCACATCATAATTATATTACCTAAGATTAAAGAGAAGCCAAGAATCTTAAAAGCAGCAAGAGAAAAGGAGACAGTTACCTGCAATGGAATTTTCATAAGATTATCTGCTGATTTCTCAAAAGAAACCTTACAGACAAGAGGGAGCTAGAAAGAAGTATTCCAAGTAATGAAAGGCAAGGACCTTCAAGGTAGATTACTCTATTCAGCAAAGCTATCATTTACAAAGGAAGGGCAGATAAAGTGTTTTCCAGAGAAGGTCAGGTTAAAGGAGTTCATCATCACCAATCCTTTATTATATCAAATGTTAAAGGGGCTTATCTGAGAAAAAGATAAAAAATATGAACAGCAAAAGAAACTCACAGCTACCAATAACTGAACAAAAAAAACTCACTAAAAATTATTTTGAGATGGTAGAAGGAGGATCACTAAGAAGGATTGGGAATTGGAGCAATGCAAAGAGAGAAAGTAAAATTTGCATCATGAATAAAAAAGGGTGAAGAATGCAGAATGAAGAGAACTAAGAAGGGGCATAAAAGTGTAGAATAAAAACAAGTTGTGGTAAGAGAGAAAACAAGTGGAAAGAAGGTGAAATAGGATAAGAGAAGGATGGGGTAAAATATGTAAATTGAGATAAACTATAGTATAAAATCTAGTGACAATATTCACAAACTCAAAGGACAAGAAATGAATGTTAAAAGGCTATTCAGGAAAGAAAATATCTCAAATCATGGAGAGGATCACAGTGGATTTTGTCTCAGTAGCTTCTAGTATTTACCACTGTTTTTCACACTGGATATGCCTGTGGTCATGTCACATGTTAACTCTGTCTGACCTTAAGCAGCCTGTTCAGGACTTCCAATATCTACTGTCTGTGGCTGACTTCATTGGTTGTTAATCTAGTCACTCTGCACTCAGCAGTCAGGGATAAGCATCATAGGGTCAGGGTAGAGTCCTTCCTAGAGTCAGGACCATTGTTTCTCCTCAGGCTGCTGCTGCTTGATGGGGAGTGGTCTGTCTGAGCAGGATGGCTGATACTTTATAGAGGATGATTCAGCACCAGGATCCCAGGGTCTACTCTCTCAATTCTCTCCCCAAAGCTTCTGTCTCTAGTCTCTCCTCAGGCATTTGTAGCTCACTCTGCTCCCACCTTTGCCAGAGCCCATGCTAAATGGCTACAAATGAAAATTTGTGTGTTAGCCCTTTGAACGGCTCTTTGTATCTGTAGCTATCTCTTTGTCAGAGAGCAACACAGCCACTTTTTGCCACTGGTGGTTGTCTGTTTACTTTTTGGGCTCTGGTCCTCCAGGCTGGTAAACACAGCTTAGGGTTTAGACTCCACACCTCTCAGAGGGATCCAACCAGTTGCTTAATTATTCCTCCAGTGCTGCTACCTGTGGGCACCCAGCCCACCCAGGCTTCCTGAGTCTCCACCATTCTCCTTACCAGTCAGATTGTGCTGAAGTTGATTCTTCTGACTGTTGGTTATAAGGCTTCTCTCTTACTATTGCTCAGTTGTTTGTTTAGGGTGATTTCTCCACAACTGAATTGTACTTTCAAATTGGTCCTGGGAGAAGGTTAGTGTGACTTCCATTTGGTCCTGTTCTATCTGCCCTGTACTGCAATCACTTCTTATAATAAAGTGACTTACAAGAAAAGTTTAGTCTAGTTTCATTTATGTTATTTTAGATTACCTAAGCATAATTAAGCCAAGAAATATACTCATCAAGGTATTTTAAGAGAAGTAAAACTTGAGTGAAGTAAAGGACAAATATTTATTGTCATCAGAAGTTTTCCTTATTTTATTATTTCTATTTATCATAAATGTAACTGAAGTTGTGATGTAAATTAAGGGAAACTTGTTGCAGAGGAAAAATATGAAGACATAGGTGTGTGCCACTGGTTGAGTCTTCCTCTACTGCTGCTCTGTGTGTTTGTTCTTTGATAACCAGTATTGACCTTCAGCCCATGTACTTCTCTATGCAGGTTTGCAGAGAGCTAGTGCAAGAGCCCCTTCACCCTACCGGAGAGATTTTGAGGCCAAACTCCGCAATTTCTATCGAAAACTGGAAGCCAAAGGATTTGGTCAGGGTCCAGGAAAAATTAAGTGAGTGTACCAGTACTTAGCACTGAATTAACATGACAGCTTTTTTATCTTTTTATTTCCTATACCTTTGTAAAGTTATGATACTGGATACCATGGTGTGGTAACAGTTGAGTTTATAATAAAGATGAAGAAAACTTATGAGATTGAGAAGAAAGAAGAAAGGAAGTTAAGAAATTGATGAGAAGGCAGAAAGGAAAGAACCAGAAAGAAAGAACAGTAGATTTCAGACAAAGGCATGTGTAAAGTCAATGGTAGACCTTTTCAGAAAACAAGGAATCTTGAACTAAATTTAATAACCAGAGACACTGATATTAAGAACACATGGACCATAAACAGAAGGGAGGTAATAGGGGATAAAGGGGGGGAAGGGGTGAAGGGTTTTGAGGAACAACTATAAAGGACACATGGACTAAACCAAGGGGGAGTGAAATCAGGGAAGGGAAGTGGGGATGGCTGGGGTTGAGGGGAGAGAAGGGGAGAAAAGGTAGACAACTGAACTTGAATGACAATAAAATGTAAAAAATGGAAAAAAATCATATAGGCCCCTTATTCTTCAGACAAATTTAACTCGTTTGTCAAATTCATGGACTATTTGTAACACTGTCACTTTGTAATAGGAACCTAAGTAAAAAGTTGTGGTTTTCTCCTCTTCTGGATTAATTGTTTACATAATGAAAAGCCAAACCCAATTAAAAAATCCAACTGAAAAGATTCTTTTTGGATATGGTTTTGAAAAAAAATGGTCCAATGGGATAGAATGTATTGAATTATAAAAGCATACATATTGTCCTGTGCTATCAATGTTTTGAACGAGTGTTTTAGAAAAGTCCATCTCTCAACTGATGGAATATGCACTTCATTGAGAGGCTGGGGAGTGATACCTGGGCACTCACTGCTTATCAGCATGCTCTCTAACAATGGAGTTTTAAGCTATCACTCAAAATCTACGTGGCTTCTACTCCTTCCTAGGCTCCTTATTCGCCGGGACCATTTGTTAGAGGGAACATTCAATCAAGTGATGGCTTATTCCCGAAAAGAGCTCCAGCGAAACAAGTTGTACATTACCTTTGTTGGAGAAGAAGGGTGAGTCACCAGTAGTCCTATGCAGACACCTTCATGTGTTGTACCAGAGTCCTTGGATCTTGGTTAATTTTTCTCAAGAAGAAGTGGGGTGGCTCTAAGACTTTGCCCCAAGGTGATTCTGATAGTGTCCTTCTGGGGGGTCTTTCTCCAGGTATTGCCAAACTTTAGATTTCATATTCTTTAAAAGCCTAAGGTTATTGAAAGGTATTAGAGTCTGAGCTACATGGTCAAATTGTAAACCAAAAATACAGCCCTAAATTACTGTACCTTTACTTTTTCAGGTGGTGTACACTTCTGAGTATCTGATCAAAAAACTCTTCCTCTTAAAGTACACATATACAATAATGTGATGTAAGGTTAAAGGTATATATTTTTTGTATATGTGAAAGTCCAATTATTTCAGTATTCTTTGTTTAAAAGATTATTCTTTGTTTCTTCAAATTAATTTGATTCCATTCTCAAAAATAATAACTTTATATAGGTCAGTGTAAAAGGATAAAATACACACATACAACTACATACCAGATGTTTTACATGATTTCAATGATTTTATGGAAAATAATCTCAACCACAGAGGACAAACTCATCTAAGATGGCATATAAAAAATGAAGTTGGAAGCTTTTAAATTTACACATATGCATGTGTGTATGTGCAAATTGTCTCAGGAATTCTCTTGTGCCTTTCCCAAGAAAACCCTTGTTTTTAATCAGCAAGCTGTGTGTTTTATCCATTAAGTGATCAAAAAGAGGAAAAAAAAGCTAAAGGACATTGACATAAGAGTTCATTCATGAACTTCCCCCAAACAAATGACTAAACCTCATTTTCTATACCAAATTAATACTTCCAATTGACATCCATTCTAAAGAGCCAAGGCTGCTCTTGACATTCCCTAGTACTGACTTTGAAAGAGCACATTATTGTCCAGATAAAGGTCCCCTACCTTCTGCAAATAATAGTTTCCCCGGGCTTCTGCTTTTTTTTGCAGCTTGGATTACAGTGGTCCTTCGAGAGAGTTCTTCTTTCTTTTGTCTCAGGAGCTCTTTAACCCTTACTATGGACTTTTTGAATATTCTGCAAATGATACTTATACAGTACAGATCAGCCCTATGTCTGCATTTGTGGAAAATCACCTAGAATGGTAAGATCTAGAATTTTTGCTTTCTTATGTTTGAAAGTTCTAGTTTTTCTTAGTTAGAAGGCAAAAGCATTTCTCAGGAGCCACTGTGTTTAGAGCAGTGGGCCAGACATTATTAGAGGTGATGAGAGTGAATAACAAAGCACTTGAAGGAAGACTGCCTGCTAGTCTTCACCCAGAATACAAAATAAATTACTAAAGACACTGCAAAGGTATTGTCTACATCAAATTTATCTAAGAAATAGTAATTGCCTTCTGAATAGTGTCTGAAGAGACACTAAAGTAAATTGAAGTAGGTGCTGAATGCTGATAATTCTATTAAAATTATGAGTCCCCAGTAAAGGTTTTTTGCAGATATATATGTGTTTGAAATTCTTTGAGATTTGTACATGTTTGTATCAATGCTTTAGCATTGTGGACATGAGCTTCTGAATCTGATTTTAAAAAAGGTTGTTGGGTCACATCTCTAAGTATCCTTCTGACTCAAAAATCATTATCTTTTTGCTTTTCTCCTATTGAGGCATCTATTAGTACTTACTGATATGCATAAGAAGATAAATATTAATCAATTCTATGCAGTTCTGTAGGTGAGATACTTCAGATATTGGAAGCCGTCAGAAATTTGCATGAGGGAAGGGTTTTCAGGAGCAACTATAAAGGACACATGGATAAAAACAAAGGGGGTGGAATCAGGGTGGGAGATGGGGATGGATGGGGTGGGGTGGAGTGGTGGGGGGGAAATGGAGATAACTGTGCTTGAACAACAATAAAAAAAACACTGCAAAGGAAGAAAATAAATTTGCATGAAAAATGTAGAATGCATGTACTTTATTGCTGTGTCACCATACCTGATTTGAAAACTACCCCACTCTCACTGCTGGAGTTCCTGTTATCAAAAAAGAAATGAGTCCTGTAGATTGCTAATGTGGTTGTTGTGACACTACTTATTTATCATGTGTTGTAATGGCTGCTGATGAAGGAAGCTTCTGAGGTGATACCTGTGCCTGCTAGTCCCACAGGCCAAATCTCTGTATTTTGGTTTTATAACATTAAGTAACCCAGCTAGAAGGTAAGACTTCTAACTGTTGCCATGCCAGCTCTCTCCAACAGTCTCAGCTCTATAGTTATTTAGCTGAGGCAAGAGTGAGTTTACATCAAACATTTGACATAAGTCACAAAATTTGTCTTTGTTCTATCATTTATTTTCCTGTCACTATCAGTAAAAGAGTGAATACACCTGTGAGACAGAAACACAGAGACAGGAAAACAGAGCAGACAAGATGTTGCCAATGGAATGTATGACCCCAAGGACTGAATGTCAGCTTTAACTTAGGTCATATTTAGACAGTATTAGAGATTGCTATAACCCATGATACAAGAATTAATATGTACAGAAATTATACTTAATATAATCCTTCAATTATCTTAGTTTGTAAGCATGAAATTCAAGATAGCATCTTAGAGACCATGAATTGGAATCTGCTACAAATAAAGAAATATTTTCATCGAATATCATACCACATAGGAATATGGTGGATGTGGGGATACCTTCAATAATTTAATGATTGTAAATTAAACACACACTATATGCTGAGAAGATACAAAAATGAAATGAGTAAGATGTCCTCCCTGAAGGATATGTAGTAGGAAGAACATATGAGGAACCAACTATTGTAATACAAAATCGTAAGTGCCACATTATACATACATACCTGCATTCGTACAATTCTTCATATATGCACACACACCAGAGATGCACATAGAAAGACAGTGGATCTTATGAAAATGAGGGATGACTGTAGAGGTCTTAAGGGACAGTTGTATAGGAGAAGGGTAGAAAAGACATGTCACAGAGTCAAAACTAGAAGTAATAATTAAAATGCATGAGAGGGAATGGAGCCTTCAGCAAGTAATGTAGCTAGACTACAGCAGAGAATACCTTTTGAGTGTGTGATAGAAAGTGAGGCTAGAATTAAATTACAACAGTAGTTATGTGTGTCCTAGCTCCTGATCGAAGTGATGGTGAGGCCTAAGGGTTTGTTTGTCAACTAGTTCCCTTATGACTTTATTACATGAAATAAGACTAAGCTATATTTTGAATTTGTGATTTGTCTTTTATTCAAGGCATTTTGTAATAAAAGTTCATCTGATCAAAAATTTAAGCTAGATATAAAAGAGAAGCAGGTGATCATCTTTCATATCCTTTATGAAGCATTCTATAATTGGAGTTGCATTTTTAAAAAGTAAATCTTGTCATATTGTGAAGAGAAATTTGAAGGAGTATGAATGGAAAGAGCCAAACTAGTTCTGAATCTGCTGATAAGTCAGAGAGAGAAATAGTCAAAACTAAGACAGATGCAGTGTCCCAGAAATGAAGGGACATCATAGAGAGAGAAGAGATGACTGAATGTTAAGAGGGAGAGAGAAATGTAGAATAAGTACAAGGTTTCTGGTAACACAACTGGGTCAATTGATGCTATTAACTGTGACTGGAGTTAGGTTGAGTAGACAATATCGAGAGAGGTAAAATGAGGAATTTTCTCTTTGACAGGTAGAATTTGCAATTTCTGTTATCAGCGCAGGTTGTTATGGCAATATATAAATGGAGCTAAGGCCCTAATTAGCAGAGGAGCAGCTGTACTAGATATTGAGATTTGAGAAACAACACAAACTGGCTTAACTGTGGGAATGTATGCATGCCCTCAAAGCTTGTGAAGACAGCAAGCAGAGCTGAGGCCCATAAAAAAGTGGATAATATTGATGTGTAAGGGATGTACAGAGTCAAAGGTCCTAAAAGGAAGTTAAGGAGTGGCCAGAGAGCTCACACCTGGGAGGAGTGTGATTAAAGAAATGCAGGGCCTGGAGAGAGTCAGGGATACTCAGAAGAACTGCTTGGGAAGGAGAGAAGGCAATATGAAAAGGCAGAGGCTGGAGGAGGTGTCTAGGCAACAGAATGGGGACTCAAAGGGTTCAGAGCACATGACTGGGAGAACAGAAGTTAGGACATCAAGGGAGAAAGAGCATTCAGGTGGCCAATGGATTTGCGTTTGAATGGTAGCAGAGGAAAGCAGGGCTAAGTGCTGTGATGGCATGAAAGGGAACCAGTGTTCTGAAGAAATCCTGGGAGTCAATAATGTTTCAGTACAAACACAGAATAAGGCCACAGGCAAATGCCTAATAATAGTACAGAGCACTTGCTGGCCTCGTAGCCTGATCATTTGCTATTGAAGTGTGGCCCCAGTCACTTTTCACTGAGGAAGGCACATCACTTTGCCCTTGCTCTCACCCTGGCTTTGTTGCTTCTGCTTATCTTTGGCATTAGAGAGCTGAAGAGGCTCTATTAATATGTCAGGTATACTTTATTGCATTGAGGAGGTAAATTGTGTGATAGATGTACGAATTAGCAATGCTCTTTGGACAGATTCTTTATAAAGATCAAAGACCCAGAAGTGCCTGCCCTGGAGGTGCTAGTTAACTTTTGTTTTTCCAAAGGAAAGAACATGAGGACTTTCATCCACTAGTTTTCCCACTTGTTTGAAAATATTTGCTGTGTAATCCAGAAACAAAAATGTGTGTAGCTTTTTGTCAACTAGCAGTCTAAGCAGAGCTTGTGCAATAATAATGTTCTTTTAGTGATGTACATTGGATGGCAAATTGTTATGAAGTGAGCAGTGACCTCCCCTCTGTTCCCAGGCTCCAACTCTGACCCTTTAGTTCCTTGAGCCCTGGTCTGGCAAGAAAGGTGGGATGCGGAAACAGCACAGGCACCAGACTATATCATGAATAGCAAATGGAGTTGGACTCCACTCTCATCAGTGCCTCAGAGGTCTTGGGAGAGGGGTAGGATTTTCTCTGGGCAGTAACAGCCAGGAGTGAGTGAGCTTGAGGCACCTTTAGCTTTGAACAGGAAGCCCTGTTGGAATGTTTGTCTCAACCAGGTGTTAATGCTACAGTTGCTCCTTCTAGGTACTTTTCTACTAGAGATACGTATACCTCATGGCAAGTGGATTTACAAAGAAAACTGGGCACCCAAGTCTTCACCTCTTTGGCACTTTAATAGAGGGTGCCAGGAAGGCTAATTCCTGACTTAAGTCACTCTGGTCCTTGTACAACGTGTATTCAGCAATTGTGTGTTGTGTCCCAGACTGATGTCTTGTCAATGTTGCTCATGCAGTGTTTATAACACTGAGGAAACCCAATGCCTGAGTTCTCAAATATGATTGCCTTACCAGATACAACTCACCCACCAGCAAGGATGAGCAAGTCTGTAATCTCAGATCTAGGTTTGTGTCTCTCCTTCCTTCCTCACTTTTTGGGATCCTCTATCTTTTGATCCACAGAGCCTGTGAAGACAATGACACTTATTATAACTAACACATCAATCGTGAAAAGAGAGAGACCAAAAGATTACAGGGCTTCTAATGGTCACAGTCTTGACTTTGTAAAGCTAGAAATTGTCCCAGTCTGAAGACATCCTGAAGCTGGGGTCCCTCTGGGAGAAGGAGTGACTCTGATGCCTGCCTTCCTGTTCATTCAACAGAACAGGGCCATAGGCCAAAAATAAGCCTTTTATTATCTGGGAAGCTCTTTATCTGCACTTGATTCTAAATACTAAACTTGCTATGTAGAATAATGGATAGCACATTTAAAATACCCATTGCTATATCTGCAGAGTCTTGAATTCATAGGTAAGACCACATTATAAAAATATTCCATTAGATGTTTCTCGCCCTTCGACCCCCAAGTGTTCTTGCTACAGTGTATAGTATAGAGCTCAGTGTGTAGTTTTTGAGTCAAAGATCAGATAAGATCTCCCACCAAAACCCAGTCCAACAGCAGTCCTCGTGTATTATCTATGCAGATACAAGAGATTTACTAGTCTTATCTCCTGGTGAATAAGAGTTGCTTTCTTAGCACTGCCCTAGAGAAGCTATGGGGAATAAATTAGCTTATTGTGACTATGTTCATTCTGCCTATTTTCATTTTTCTTCTTTTTTAATAAA